GAAGAACTTTGCGGTTCTCCGGCGCGGCGGGAGGGTGAAGTCAGGCGGGAGGGAGGGAGGGGAGGAGAGCGGTGCTGCCACACAACTGGGGCATCCCCGCTGTCCCCGCCACCGCCGGGACACCCCCGCGACAGCCGCTGGGCAGAGGTGGCGTTTGGAGACCCTGTCCTGCGCCTGGGCACGGGGGCAAGGGTGGTGCTGGACTGGGAAGCTGGTGCCGTGCAGCTGAGACCGGCCCAACTCATCACATATTCCAAGGGTTCCTGCTCCTGCATAGCGTGGATCCCACTGTGGGCTGAAAAATGGATGAGGATTTATTCCTCTCTGAGTCAAGGAGGAATCAATCCCTCCTCGCCCAGCAATGTGCCGTGGTGGGTCCCGGGGTGAGGATGCTCCCCCAAAAACACCCAAGCTGGGCTGCAGAATGGGACGTGAGTTGACGCAGCTGAAGCAGCAAAAAGGAGAGTACAAGTGCCATTCTGCACTGAAATTCCCAGCCTGATCCATATAGATACCAAGGAAAGGTTGTGGGGGTGGCAACGGCAGACAGCCCTGGTGAAATCACAGCTGGTCTCTCGCTGGTCTGTTCCCTAATGTGTCGTGGTGGGTCCCGAGGTGAGGATGCTCCCCCAAAAACACCCGAGCTGGGCTGCAGAATGGGACGCGAGTGACACAGCTGCAATGTGCCGTGGTGGGTCCCGGGGTGAGGATGCTCCCCCAAAAACACCCAAGCTGGGCTGCAGAATGGGACGTGAGTTGACGCAGCTGAAGCAGCAAAAAGGAGAGTACAAGTGCCATTCTGCACTGAAATTCCCAGCCTGATCCATATAGATACCAAGGAAAGGTTGTGGGGGTGGCAACGGCAGACAGCCCTGGTGAAATCACAGCTGGTCTCTCGCTGGTCTGTTCCCAGCTTGGTGTTTTGGGGAGCGTTTCGGATCAGTTTGAGGGCTGGAAAACCTGCCTCCGAAGCTGAAGGGAATCCCTGCAGGAGGGAAGGAGCTGGGTGGACTGGGCAGAGGACTGGTGCCTCAAACGGACCTGGAATCCAGCAACGACGCAGAAGATCCAGCAGCTGCAAACTGAAGCTAGAAAAGTTCAGATGGGAAATAAATGACAGGCTTTTAATAAGAAGAGCAATTACCTTCCCGAAGGACGTAGTAGATTCACCACCTTTCAAGTCTTTCAACACCGGCGAGGAGTCTTTCTCAAAAAAAAAACCCCGCTCCAGTTCAACCGCAGGGTCATTAGCTCTGACGCAAGAGCTGCCGATGTCACTGCCCTGGGCTGGGCGAGAGGGAGGTGGGAGCAGAGGGGGACCTTTCTGACCTTCTCTGAATCAAGGACGGGGGTTTGAACTCCATCCTGGCTGATCCGAAGGGGTTTGGGCTGGCTCAGTGTGCAGGGGTGATGATTTAGGGGGTGCAGGGCAGAGCATCCTTAGCGCCTTTGCAAACACGCAGCTGGACACGGATCTGCGGGGACCGGTGGGACCGGCTTCGACACCTGCCCTCGGCGCTGGTGGCACCTGGGGTGTCGTTGCAAGCGCAGGGCCACGACCCTGCTGTCCCCGAGCAGGTTGGATGCTCTGCCATTCCTCCGCCTCGTGTCCCCAGGCACGGCTGGAGATCGCCGCCGGCCCCGGCCACAATTACAGGCGTGGATGAAACAGCCACCTGGCTTTTATTCACCCATCTTGAATCGACAAGCAGGCGTTTTGTCACCTGCTCGGAGGCCTTCCAGCACCAGAGCGCTGCAGAAGCAGGAATGGAAATTTGGGTACGCTCAGTGTCAAAATCCAACAGGGTGGGAAGGCGTGGGGCTGGGCAGGGAGCCCACAGACCCCCCCGCCAGCCACCAGGAAGGGACCAGAGGTCACCTTCCCTTAAGTGGCAGGGCATGGGGACCTCTTGGGAGCATCTCTCCTTTTCTCCTGCATACGAGTGCTATTTTCCACTGAAATTCCCAGCCTGATCCATACAGATACCAAGGAAGGGTTGTGGGGGTGGCAACGGCAGACAGCCCTGGCCTGCCAGCATGGCTCCTTTCACCTGCACCTCCTCTGTCTGTCCTCGGCTCTTTGCTGGAGAAGTGTGTCTGAAAAACCAGAGGCAGCCATGACTGCCAGCCCGAAGCAGAGGGAATCATCACAGGAAAAGGCAGAGCAAAGCATCCCAGCAGAGCCCGAGTGCTTCCAGAAATTCCAGCAAGGGTGCTGGATTTTTGGCACCCCTGGAAGGCTGTTCCACGTTTCCGAAGTGCTGGAGGTAAACCTGCAGGTTTGCAGGCTCCGGCATTAAACCCTGATGGAGGGAGAGGGAGGGAGACTCAGATGTGTCCCAGACCTTGCTGGACACACTGGATCTTTGCTGCTGGGTTCCCTCACTGTGGGACTGCACCAGGTCTGGTTTTGGAAAGCCACCCGCAGCAGGATGGGGTGTCCTCAGTGTCCCCAGCACAGCCATCATGGGGGGATGATCACCTCTCAGGACAACATCTCTACCACCCATCTTTTTTAGCCTTTCATGGAGGAGGAGGGTAACGAAGCCCCTTCCACCAGCAGACACCAGTTCCTGGTGGGCTGCAGGAGCTCGTGCTTGGTAGGAGCAGGAGAGTTGTGACCCCGATGGGGACGGCACCGGCCAATGGAGCAGCACAAAGCAAACAAATCAAGTGGCCTGATGAATTAATCCGCTGGTGGACTCTTAACTCGGGGAGCAGGAGCCAAAGGGATGATGAGTAAACAAAGGCCAAGCTGCACCAGACGGTATTTAGGTGCTCCCGGTGAGCTGTTACCAGTTCCAGATTCATTCTAGGCGTTGCTGCTTTTCCTGTCACACAGGCGGCCACCGGCCTGCCCCGCTGCACAGCCGGCGTGTGGCACCGCACTGGGGCTCAGCTCCTGCCTCTGAGAGGTCAAAACACCTATTTTGGGTCAAATAGGTGTATCTCGGGTCAAATAGCACCAATTATGGCATCTGGGTGTCCCCCCAGCCACCTGTGGCCATTCAGTACCAGTACACCAGG